TTGGAGCAAGACAATGTCATATTAGCGGATAGGAGTTCGACAACACATTGCCACATTTAACGGGATCATTCAGGCCTCTTACATTCTAGCTACATGTACTTTGATGCTTCTATTCATAGATAAAAGATTCTACACCATCATGAAATAAATTAAACCAAAGTAAAAAATCATCATCTCAGACATTATTTTTGCAAAGAACCAACACCGCAGCAGAGGTAGGGTGTGAGACATGGTTGTAGGAAGCATCCTTGTACACATACTAGTGGGGTTCAACATAGCGCTACTACTACCTAGTACAAAATTGGAGCATAGTGTGCTGACCTTGAAAGTAGGCTCAGATCTCGCCTGCTGAATGTAACACATTAGTTGTTTCGTGGGCGTTAGCCGCCCACCGAGATCTCGCCATCTCTTCCTCGTTGGCTCCAAGCAGCAGCGATATCTAGAAGGGATTGCGTGTCATCGGAGGGATAGTGGTTATCAAAGGTAAGATAAGAGTGAGAGAGGGCATTACGAAGACGACGAGACGCACCAGAGAAATCGAACTTGATCTCAACGCTACCGCCTTTGTCTTCGGGCAGCTCAAAGCCCGCTTCTTCCTTCTCCATGAGACGCAGGCTCCTCCTCGGCTTTTGTCGGGCGCTGTCCTTTTATCCTTGCGGCGAACATGCCCGAGATGCACGGCTCTCGTTCAGAGATCAAGTTGCCCACCGTGGTGTGAACCAGCGTGGCGGCGTTTATGGCCAGAGCCGCAGCCACTCAGCGATGTTGTCTCCATCCTCGCCACCTCGAACTGAACCACCTCCTCCTCTCGCATGACCGCCTCCTTGCCACCATCCTTGTCTCCGCCGAAGTGACACCTCCTTCCCTCTCTCTCTCTCTCACTTAGCCGATCCCGCATATTAAGGGCAAGCACGGAGGAGCCGCCTGGCATGCGGGGTATGGCGTCCTAAAATGGTGCGGACCGGCGCATTGCAGGAGTGTCCGCGACGACGCCGTTCTCCCACTCGAGAGTACAAAGGCCACCGTGTTCTCGCGCGCGCAGCGGCACTGGGTGGGGGTTGCCGGCCGGGGGTGGTAGTAGGCGCGGCGCGCAGCTCACGGACGGGACCAAAGTTGTAGTCACCCCATTTCGGCTCTAGCCCGGTCGATTATCCACGTGCGGATGGCGACGCGTTGGCGATGCTCGCGGACCGTTGTGGTTGCGCACGAGAGCAGCTGGTCGGGATCTCTGATGATGGTCCAGACGGACCACAGGTCCGCATGGAGGTGTAGTCTCCGCCGCCAAAAGCGAGCCGGGTCGAGTGTAGCAGAACATTGCCGATGGCCCCAATGCCCCCTCGCTTTTCTCGTCCCCAAAGTGCTCGAGGGGAAAGTCCACCGCTGGCGATCTTCGGCGTAGATCGGTAGAAGGCGTGAACCCGTTGTCCGCCTCCTCGTGGCGCCGATGGTGAGCGTGTTGCCATCATGGGTGATGGGGCTCCCTAGCCACGACCTCCTCCTCTCTCCTTCGTGTTGAACACCATGACGCCGCAATCCTCGGCCCGACGCCTCCGCCATGTTGAAGGCGGAGCGTCGCAGTTCGTTCCATGGCTCGGCGGATGAAGAGATGCGGACTATGGACAGCATGCTCGAGATAGACGTAGGCAAAGACCCTAGCGTCGTCGTGAATCGCCATTATCGACGTGGGCCTCGGCCATGGAGCGCCTCGGTGGCGGATGATCCTCCCGGCTAGGTGGTGGAGCGTTGGGTGATGTGGGCGGGGGATGGTGAAGTGGTCATGGATGATGGAAGCGGATGTTTGAAGCATGGTCGAGGTTTCGGGGAGCGGGCTCGGGCGAGCCATCGTTGGAGGATGTTTTTAGAAGACATGTTGTGTGCGTTTTATCCATTATTTATATGCGTGCTTTGTGTCGGAGCAAGAGTACGTCGCGCATTTTATAGGGTCACGCACTTTGGACACCAAATGATCGATGATAAACATCGGAAGCAGATTTTCACCGATATTTTTCCTTTGATCCTAAGGAACCTTCTTCATCCGTCAGGGGCTGCATGGTTGCCACCACCGCTCTCGCTCCTGCCATGGAGCCGCCAATTTGTGGACGTGTCCATTTTTGCCGAGCCGCATTGGATGAGGTGTCGATCACCGTAGTTACCCAAAGACGATCTTGTGTGAGTAAGCATTGTTGTCACGATCGCTTCGTCGATTTGTAGTCTGAGAGATAGGCTTAGAGAGAGAGCGGCAGCAGCGTCGAGGTAGGAGAGAGGTTTGGTGGAAGCATTGAGGGCGTGGTCGGATGAAGTGCGCTTGCCAAGACATTTCTTGCTTCCATCGCCGAGGCGCCACAGGTTGACACACATCGTGAGAACTGAGCTTTTGCCTTCCCCGCCGAGCGCCAGCTTTTGTCGAATAAGTGGTGAAAGCGGCCGGGCCGTTGTTGGGCCCGGCAGAGAGTAGCCGATTCGAAATTTGAAATGGGAGCCCATCGGAGTACCACTTGCGAAAGAGATGACGTCACGAGCTAGCAGAGTGACGATCGGGTGGATGTGGTAGATGACTCCGCCCATGGCGCAAACACCCATTTGTAAAGATGGAACTTGATGATGTCATTGGAGACCATGGTGCGGAAGATGAAGGGGAGATCGTCATGGATTTGGAAGGATTCCGGAGGGGCGTAATTTTAGAAGTCAAGAACTTTGGCTACTTGGCCGGTGGAAGTTAGGGAGGCCGTGTTCGTCTGGGCGATCCAGAGAACCACGGGGGATACTAGTGGCCAATAAATAACAACCGGGCAATATAATCTACCAGAGAGCGGTTTTGAATTAGCGTACAGGATGGTCGTAAAGTCGATGGAGATGATGCACATTCGCGGCCGCCCCCTTGCGGCCTCCATGCTCGCTCTTCTGCTCCACGGACAAGTCGTCAGACGACACCGCCATCACCATGGGCGATCATGGCGGAGGAGCTACGCCGGTGTCCTCCGTAGCTCGCCGTGGCTTCGAGCTCTTTATCCCGAGTAGCAGAGCTGCAGCAGCTTAGCCCAATCTTCGCACGGTCTTTTCGTCGAACAGTTGGCGGGCGAGATTGGGAGGACCATGTTCGCTTGCACCGACGGCCGATCCGTGTAAATTATTTGTTGCCCGTGCGCTTGTTGTCCGACGTGAGCGGCGGTGTGTATATACCACCTCAAATTGACGGCAGCAGATCCATGGGGGGCGGAGTGGAGTGGAGGAGCGGGCGGAGGGAAGAAGGAGGGGCTGTGGGGGCGAGGGTGAGGTGACAGTACCGGCATAGTGGTGAGGGATGGCGTGGAGGTGGCGAGCGACCGACGGCGGTGGGTGAGTGGCGAGCGCCGGCCGGGAGTTCCCGCACGTGGTGGTGGTGGGGGGGGGGGGGGGGGGGCATGGCGAGCCAAACCGACTTGACTTCTCGAATTGTTTGTTTTCTCGTGAGCCCGACGCTTCCATGTTGCACGGCTAAAAAACGGTTGATTACAACCGGCAAATCAACCATCGATCGGTCGTCTGTCTACGTGCTCTTTCCTCTTGGCGTCGTGCCATCATCGGTTGAAACCCTTCTTTTTTGGAAAGGCTATATAATTGATCCCTGATGGCTTTTATATTCAGCTCGAGGAGCTGCATCTATGGCGCTCATTTGTATCCTATGGTCGTGGAACAGCCTGTGGCTGCTGTTGTTAGGGGGGTGTTTGATCTGGTGACTAAAATTTAGAAGGTGTCATGTGAGAATGTTATATGGATGTTCGGATACTAATAAAAAAATAAATTATAGAATCCGTCAGTACTACACGAGACGAATTTATTAAGCCTAATTAACCCGTCATTAGCACATATTTACGGTAGCACTACATTGTCAAATCATGGATTAATTAGGTTTAAAAGATTCGTCTCGTAAATTAGTCGCAAGCTGTGTAATTAATTTCGTAATTAATCTATATTTAATATTTGTTTAAACATCTAATAAAACAGCGCCTAAAGTTTATGTGGAGAAATCAAATACCCCTTGTCTGCGTGGGTGGGGGCTGGCCGTCGCGTGGTGTAGGTGCGACGTCGCTGTCCTGGGGTCCGGTCCCCCGCCTCGTTAGTGATATAACGTCAGATTCGTCAACGTCGCACCACAAACATGTGAGCAATGAGGCTACATTAGTAATTATATACTACGTAGACGGGAGGGGAGCAGTTCACCTCCCTTTCTTTGAAACACCAATAAGACCTCGTTTAGTTGCTCTTAGCTCTTAACTTTTGTATTATATAAAAAGAAGATTTTTCGTCACATTAAATTTATGTTACATGCATGAAGTACTAAATGTAGATGAAATCAAAAACTAATTACATAGTTAGGTTGTATTTTGCGAGACGAACGTTTTGAGCCTAATTAGTCAATGATTGGACAATTGTTACCAAATACAAACAAAATGCTACAGTACGCTACAGTGTTACACAGTGAATCCGGACGGCGCCGAATTTGGCCAACTAAACAAGGCCCAACGCGCATGCTCTCTCTGACCGCATCAACACATTTTTCGCTCCAATTTTCCTGACGATTTCGTTCCACTTCCAGGAAATGGGCGCACGAGTGGGCTAGATGCATGCATCCAATTGGCCTGCAATGTGCAGCCAAATCTACCAAAGGTTACCCAAGGTGGGAAAGCAGAATTAACATGTGATTCCCACCCACCCATTTTGGACGCGATCAAAATTTCAGGCTTTTGTATGCAAACTTTTTTTTTGTATAACAACTACTGCTAGTAATAGTAGAAAGTGTTCAGAGTTTCCGACAACAGATGAACATGAATGTCATCTACTAGTATATATTCACCGCAGATGAATTTGAACAATTACACGTATTACCACGACAGATTAAAGTGAACCCAAAATTAATTACTCAAGGCCGCAGCGAGGGGCGAGTAGGACGACATGAACAGAAAACCAACGTCCCCACTCGACGACTTCTCCTCGGATCTCCAGCCGGCCTCCAGGAGCAATCAAGACGACGACGACGAGGGATCGGACGAGGAAATGGTGGAGGAGGAGCCGGCGGTCATCGGGGTCATGTCCATAGGGTAGCTCCCGAGCACCCGGAGGAAGGACGTGTACTCCTGGACCTCGGCCAGTGCGTTCTGCGCGCGGGGCTCGGCGAGGGACGCCTGGAAGTCGACGTAGAACATGTACTCGAAGTGCTTGGCGGTGCCGACGTTGGCGTCGTCGACGAGGCGGATGGGCCGGTGGCGGTGCGGCCTGCTCTCGATCTTGGTGAGCGAGATGTCGCGGAAGGCGAAGGCGGAGAGCACCTTGAAGAGCACGGAGGTGCCCTCCCTGTCGTGCGCGAACACGATGCTGGTCTTGAAGGGGCGGTCCGTGCGCGGCACGATGGGCTCCCGGGCCAGCATCACGAAGCGGGTGACGTTGCCGGAGTCGTCCTGGATGCCGTCGGCGAGCACCTCCATCCCGTACAGCTCGGCTGCGCGGGAGGACGCGATGGCGGCCGTGTCGCGGAGCCCGTTGGCGGCCACGTACTCGGCGGCGCCCGCCGTGTCGTCGAAGGCCTCGCGGACGACGTTGAGGCCCATGGCCGTGAGCGTGTGCTCGCACTGCGCCAGCGCCTGCGGGTGGCTGATGACGCGGGTGAGGCACTCCTTGCGCACCCCGGGCAGCGCCAGCAGGCAGTGGTGCACGGGGAGCTGCACCTCCCCGACGATGTGGAGCCGGTGCCGGAGGAGCAGGTCGTAGTTGCGGTGGATGCTGCCGCCCAGCGAGTTCTCCACGGGGAGCACCGCGCGGTCGGCGATCCACAGCTCCACGGCCTGGAACGCCACCTCGAACTGGTCGCAGGGGATGGCGTCGCACCCCGGGTACGCCTTCCCGGCCGCCTTCTCGCTGTACGCGCCGGGCACGCCCTGGTACGCCACGCGCAGCTGCGACCCGTGCATCGGCGCCGGGGACAGGTCCGCGATGCAAATCGGCTGCGGCAGGTTCGTCTTGGTGATGGCGCCGCCAGTGATACTACTCACGGGGACCAAATCCAGCACCGCCCCGTTCTGACTCGGCGCCGGCGCCGGCGACGGCGCGACGTGGCCGTTGATGGAGTGCGTCCCGAGCGCGGCAACCTTGCTGGACAGCACGGCGCAGCTGCTCTGCCACTCCGCCCGGCCGCCGACGACCGCGCCCTGCAACGAGCACCTGACCACGCCTCCGCCTCTCCCCGGAGCGTGGCACGCGAGCCTCGGATTCTGCCCGACCGGCGCCTTGATCATACTCGCTGGAGCCATTGCGACACCGATTGGTTCAGGTAGCTACCTCTCCGCCTCGGCTGTTTCTTGGTTCTGTGCTCTCTGCTCGGCCGGGTAACTGGGGGTAGTTTGAAGCTTCAGAGCGAGAAGCTGAGGAGGCCACGGGCGGGTGGGACCGTTATATAGGGGGCGCCGGCGTTTTGTTTGGTCTGTGGTTGCTGAGGCTTGGAGTGCAAGGGGTTGGTGGCGCGGTGGGGTGCGTGGGCGCAGCTTCGTCATGGACTCGGGAGGTCCGGGACGGGGAGGGGTTGGTTCGGTCAGCGTCAAAATATATCTCCGCCACACCAACCTAACATAAACTACCCCAGCTCACCGTGGAATCAAACGGAACGTGCAGTGCATCTGCATTCCCGCACGCTTGCCACACCAACCAACATAAACTAACCCCAGCTCACCGTGCACTTGGCAATTTCCTACCGCGAACGCAAGGCTAATAAGTGCGCTTGTATGTCGAGTCTGTGATGAGTGATTGTCCGAGATGATCAAAGCTTCGGTTCGGTTTGAGACTAACCCAAGCGTGAGTGTGTGTGCAACATCTCCTAGCTGTGGTGGTGTGCAGCTGTGGAGCACGGAGACGGTCAACGGGCATGGTGAAGGTCAAGTAGAGACAGGCTGTGCCGATGGACTAGGAACAGTGAAGGACGTACGTGAGGCTCGGACCGAGGTACCAAGATGGCCGAAAGACTCACCGTGGTGGCTGACACTTGGAGACATCAACAAGCAAGAGCACATGAGGAGTAGTAGATCGTGTTGACTAAGTCAAGACGGCGGTTGACCAAGTCAAGCGGAGGCGCTGGAGAACTTAGTGATCGGGCGGTCGAGGACGACGGTGACATGTGTTGAGATCTTGGAGGAGGCCTAACGGATACGCTTCTCCAGGTGGTTGGGTGGTTTGAACCTCAAAAACACCGACGGACATTTTTCGGGTTTGTGCCCCAAAACCCAGTTGGAGTTCTGGCAGGAACTAGAGGCGGCGCGTAGTGTCATCGCAAAGCTTGCGTCGAGGCAAAGCAAAGTCGTGAAGACCTCATGGCCGTGGGATACTTCTATCTCAAGATTGACCATTATGGCCCTGGGGTTAAGTGGTTTAGCCTAAATATATAAGGGCTTGTTAGGAATGTGTAATAGGTTTATAAATAAGATAAGAGACAACCCTCAACCAGCCATCTCTTCAATTGTTTTCGTTTCCGGACTTAGGTTTTTCCGGTCTCTAGTTTACTCTTCTAGTTATTGAGATCCGCACTGAGAGAATCATTCCTCTATTATGTTAATCATTTCTCTGCAAGAAAAGATCTTGTTGGTGCTTGAAATAAAGCAATTTGACCTCTAAAATTCATGGCTAAGATCTGAGTTCTTATGGAGTTCATGTTTTTGAATGGGCTTTTCCTCTCCCGAACCCCCTTCTCTTGGCTTTTGGGTGATTTGTTTTTTTGGTGAACTTGAGATCGATCCAGGGATTGAAAAACAAGCTATGACATGTGAAGAACATATCTGAAAGTCCGATTGACCAGATTCCTTATGAGCTCCAAGTTGGGCTATTTTGAGGAAAGTTTGGAAAGCCCCGATCCGATTTTTTGTGTTTTGGTGCTCCGCTTGCCCGTTTTGTGATCCACTTGTTCCGTGGGTTTCCAGAAGTGCCTTGGAACTTTTCTAAGTCCTCAAGTCACCAGTTAGCTTACGGGATTTGGAGTTGTTCTCTTTGCTTAGTTGAAACTGAGAGCACTGTTTTTGGATTTGTGTGTTCCATTTTGGAATTGGTTTTCCGCTGAAGTGACTATCCCGTTGTGTTCTATGGTCACCACCAAGAACATCTAGCCACTTGTTGGCTTGAGGATAGAACTTGTGTAAGTTTTGGTGTTTTGTAGGGTTGTTTGGGACAATGGCCATTTCGAAAGAAATTTTGATTGGCTCCCATTCACTGACCCTGGTTGCCTCTTTGGTCCTTCACCGGCACCAGCTTCTGCCTTTTGCGTCGCTTCCTGGAACATGAAAATCCTGTTTGGCAAGGCTCTAGCTCTGAAAATAGCTCCAGAGCAGGTGTTGCACCATGGAGTAGCCCAACGGTAGAAATGACCACGCACCAAACCGTTTGGTATAGCTCCAACTCTGAGATGACCTCATATGTAATTGTTGGAACATAGACATGGACTAAAATGAAAAAATACATTTCTTCTTCTTCTTCCCACTTCGGTTCTATCCCGCATCGATGTGGATCCCGCGACGGAAGGGCGGGGCTAGGTCGCTCACTGTCAGGGTGCCTAGTAGGCGGGCGAAGGTGGTCACGGTCTTCACGCTTGCCATGTCGCTAGAGGTCTCCATGGCGCCAGTAGCAGGGGTGATGTTGGGCAACAACCACCCTCGCTACAGCAGGGCGAGCGACGAAGGCGGAGCGCTCGCCGGGGAGAGCTGGGTGTGCCGACTGCAGGGCTGGAGGTGGGCAGCGTGCAGTGAGTCACACGAGTGCGTGAGGAAGAAACAGGAGGCAGCGACGGAAAAAAGAAATCGAACCGGTGAATTGTGTAATGGATGGCAGTGGTGGGTAATTTATACCAACTCCATTAATTAGAGTTTTTATATCACCCCTTGAGGTGGTCTATGTATTTGGTGGATCTGGGAGCTGGATCCACATTTTTTGCGGATCTAGAGTTCACGGACCTGGGCCTTTGGCTAGAAAAATTGAGAGCAGAACCGTTTTTTCGGATCTGGAGCTGCGTAGAGCTCTACCAAACATCCTCTTACTCCCACTATTCTAAATTATAAAATATTTTATTTTTTAGATATATAATTTTTCTATATATTTAAACATATAAGGTATGTCTAAATACATAACAAATGCTAAAACGTTGTTTAGTGTATCTAAAAGAGGAGGAGCTACTACAACCTTTTATCCATGCTGATCACTATAGCCGCAACAGGAGACACTTTTTTCTTCGTCGAACAATGCCAATGTATATATAAAAGTAAAATGCCATATAATTTGAAACAAAAGGAATAATATATAGAGTAAATTCATCCAAAAGGATATATAGAGCATTTTTTTAATTTTTGTGAATTTGTTTTGTCCTTACTTGTAGCAACTTAAAAATTTTTAGTACTGGTACGAGGTATGTGTTGTGGCAATACATTGTTTCTATCTTGATTTAGATGAATTTTAGTCTTTCACTATCTGGCGTGTGCATGCCCATTTCTGAGGGTGATTGACCATGAGACCACAGTCTAGTTTGTACAACTACTATTCTATAATCTACCACATTAGCAAAAAGAAAATTGTTTAGATGACTTCTCCAAATCAGTGAAGGCTGAAGAAATCATGTTTCGGTGGCTTCGACTTTACCATGTTTGGCTTGGTTTTGGCTTCAGAAGCCGTTCCATGTGTGCACATTTGGCAACGCTTTTGATTAAGCCAGTGGAGAAATCACAATAAAATCCCCTGCCAAAGAGAACCTTACAAACTACGACAACACACAAACATGGTTGTGCGATCGCAGCTGCGGTGCAGCTCAAAGCTTCCTTCTATTGTGTTTCTAGTGCAGCTATAAGCTTGAAGCTTCCTTCTATTGTGCTTCTAGTGCAGCTACAGCTACTTTGTGGAAATTTGGTTTTGGTACATGCTCTTTTTGAAACGTTAGGCTTTTCTTTTTTTGCTTGAACCAAAAAAAAAAAAAAATCTCACGTCAATGGCTAGCTTAATTTCGGTCCGCCCACGCCAGCCGGCGGCCAGAAGCACCGTTGGCCGGCTCTAATCAGTCTCTGCTTATCTTTGGAGTCGGTGTAACTTTTTAGGTAGGAGTACCATAGTACTTCCTGGAGTCAGATGTAACTTTTTTTGACCTCAGGTAGGAAATATAGTCAAATTTAAGTACCGTAAGAGTTAATAAACCAAACCACGATTAGGTGATATTTTACATAAATTTTGAATAAGACGAAGGGAACGGATAGATTGCTGAAGGAACGAGTAGTATAGATTAGGGAACGGATAGATTGCTGAAGGGAACGGATAGATTGCTGAAGGGATCGGGGAAAAGTGTAGTAACTTTTAACCTATATACGTACAAGACTGGCACAGTGGGTTATTAGTTAACGTCTCCCACGTTGGACGTCGCCGAGATCTTTCCATAGCCCATAGGTATACGTACGTACGGACAACGCGGTGAGCCTCTCGATGTCTGTACTGCGATGAAGTTTGACGACAGTTTAGGGGGCCGTTTCTCATGAGACACTTCTCCGTCGCGTCGCCCCCATCACATCATCAATCCCTCGCTAGCTTCCGCCGCTCCGCCCAGATCGATCGGAAGTCATCACCGTTGGGCGTTGGCTGGTTCTAATCAGTCTCTTTTCTTTCGAGAGAGGTACTACAAAGTAGGAGTACACTCGAATCGTTGTCACTTGTCAGGCGCCACCCACAGTACCGAGCAATTATGGTCAAGACAGCACGCAGCACGTTCACGCTGGGCGGGACGTGTACGTGCGCGTGCGAACGCGCTAGACCGATGTAGGGACTGAGGACAGGAGGACCGACCGATGCAAAGACCCGACCGCGATCGAGGTCACCGGTCACCGCGCGCGGGGACGAGGAAAAAGGCCGGCCCGTCAAGCTCGTCGCGCAGAACCAGACCGCCGGAGGCGGCAGAGACCCCGTGGGCACGGATGCTGCCACTGTGGCGCGGTGCGGCCGCGGCCTTGCGCGCCCACCACGTCGGTTGGCACCATGCATGCAAAGGTAACTACCTCCCTCGAGTGTGCGTGGCTCCCTTTCGGGCTCTCCCTCCACGGCTCCACCGCCGTGCCTCCCAGCCACTAATCCAAGGGTGCTGCTCTCTGCCGCATAGCCGGCTAGGACATGGCCCTACGCGATGCACTACCGTTCTACGTACTCAAGACTGTGGCACGCGTTATCACGATATCCTTGAATCCTCCTCCATCCATGGTCAGATCCCGGACGGTGTTCTTTTCGGTAATATAACACAAGTTGTCCAGTC